GTGCTTGCTGGACCTTATGGCATAACTGAGACATTTTTTCTTGTGAAAATTATTTGGATGTGTGCTTTTATTTTGGCTGTTCACCCCAAGCCCTAGGGACTAGTAAATGCTGGATGCTTATGTTTAACTGGAGCTAAGCAGAAATTTGACAGCCCTTGGCTCCCTTCAATTTGCAGCCTTGTGATTTACTTTCATAAAACAATCATAGCTGGATTTGCCTTTTGGGGAGTCTTTGTTTATGGCATTCTAAGCTAACAAAGACAAGCTAAGCTGAGGGATGGATTATCAGGAATCAAAGCCAGCTCCCCTAGCAGGGACAAGGGAGCTCGGTCCAGACTGTGCTGCAGCACCTGGGAGGCCACACACCAAGATGATAAAGGCTTTTCTTTGAGGGGAGGTCACCAAAGTTCACTTTTACAGAGCACTTCTTATTCTCAGCTAATGGGGCTCCCTGTTGCATGGCCTTGCAACACAAAACACAAAATCGGTGGATTGTCAAAGAAATTATTTTTAAAGTTGCTCCCTGGCAAATTTCTCTGAAAGGACGGGCCAAGTGTCTTCTCCTGGCCAAATGGAACGGCCATGACCCAACCACCCAAGCCATGGTGCCACTTTGCACCTCTGCAGTTTGAGATTTGTCAGTATTTTGATTTCAAATCTTTGTTTCTGGCCTTGTACTGGCCTTTGGGATTGCATTTTGTGATAGATTCTCCTACTTTCAGTAGGAGTTTCAGAACAAACTATTTAATCTTTTTGTGCTGTAGAAATGAAGACATTTCCAATCCCTTAGGGATTTTTGTAGTCTCAAAAAGCAGAATTATAATTAAAAACGACATATTACAGACTTATCATGTTACATCTGAGGTGGGCTAAATCCTTTTCTGGTCCTTAAGAACTAAATACAAAATCAAAACATATAACCAGAGCCAGATTTGGCCTATTTTGTGTGTGCGTGCGTGTATGTAATTCCTGCACTGGCAGCTATTCCTTTTTTTTTTCAGAGAGAACGGACTCATTTGCCCCCAGAAGGAGAAAAATGGAAGTGGGAGAAATGTTTAGCCTAAGGCCAGCATCATCTGCTGGGAGGGTTAAGTATGGGCTGGTTGGAGTGCTTAAATTTGATTTTTCCTGTGTAAATGCAGGTGTTTAGAGAAGCTGTCTTCTGATTCATTTGATCTTGATTGGGTGGGGGGGAAGTAGTAATATCAGATGAGATTTTTATTTAGACTTTGACTGCAGTGAAGCTACAGTGATGTTTACAATAATCACATTGTATTTTTGTAAATTTAAACACTAATTATAGTTTTATTACCAAATTGGTATTTTCGTCCTTAATTAGTTTGATTAAATCTCTTCTAAGCAAAGGATTTTTTAAGAAAATCTATTTTCCGTGCTAAGAAAGTATGTAGCAGCTATGTGTGTGTACTAGATGACAATGTGCAGTGCACAACTGACTCAAAGCTGATACCCTATAGGACCCCCTCGTGGGCCTGTCCTTGGTGCTCCCTGCTATAAGAACACACATGTTGAGCACTCTTCAAGTTGGCCAGAGGCAGAGACTGTTTTTTAGCACTTGTCCTCATTTTTTTTAACACTTGTCCTGTCTCAAGATCCTCCTTTGAATGATACAAAAGGAATCCTTCTGAAGGATCCTGCTTCTGCTTACATCTGTGGCCTTTGGGTCAGGTCCGAGTCCTCTGTCTTCTAAAGTCCTTCTGAGCAGAAGCTGCTCAGATGAAGAAGTGAAACTGCTGGGATGAAACTAGAAGCTTTGCTACTTTGTCACTGTAAGGACAAAGGCATTTAATAAAACCAGGGACTTCTGGTACAGCATCTGCTGTGACAATATTTGTCTTACTTTTGTTTTTTGACTTCTAATTAGTTTATGTCCCAATAAATCCCTAATACAGGGACTGTTTTAAAAACAATTGAAAACAAGACAAAGGGAGGACTCGCAGTTGCTTATGGCTTGCTTTGTGTGGCTTTCAGGCATTTCAGCAATTTTGCTAACAAGTATCCTGTAACCTATTTCTAAAGGCCACTAGCAGATAATTATATTTGGTTAATTTACATACTTTCAGTTTATAATCCTAATTAGTTCTCCAACAAGTAGTCCCTAGGCGATATGTACTCTTACCTCATTTTATTTGCCATCCCTAATGTGCAAGTTTTCTTCTTTTAATTTACGAAAAATGCTGTTAGGTTTGGTTCAGGGCTTTCCCATTTTAGTGCATATTTAAGCTGGGTGATTCCATGCTGATTTAAACCGTCTTTGCAAATAAGTATTTCACATCCTTATAGATCATTCTTTATGTTATGGCTAGGAGATGTTCTACAATTTAAGGAATCTGACCTGGATTTGACACAGAGTCTATTAGTGTTATAAATTAATCAGGCCATATTTTCTACCAACCTGTATCCAGGGGGTCCTGATTAAATCTCTGGTTACCCAAAGGCACATGGGGAAAGGGATGAAGTGCAGGACTGTGACCATGTCACACTGCTGCCATGGCAAGGCACAGGACTGGGCTGTGGCAGTGGCATGAATAGAGGCTGGATGAGCTGGGGATAGTCTCTGTTTGGTCATTGTAAAATCTCCTGGTTGCTGTTGCTTGGCAATAGCTTATTCCTCCTTCATGCCGCGGGGACTGTCTCATGCGCATCCTGGTCTGGGCTCACATCACCAGGCCTGAGGCTGCCTTCGGTGAAGTGACTAGGGAGAGTGGGAGAAGACGATGAATATGAAGACTGCTGCTTTCATGTTTAAGTGAGAAACACTCCTTTAGCTCCTTTCAGGTTCAAATGAACTTCAAAAAATACTCGAGGTGAGCTTTGTTATGGGAAGGAGTGTGTCTATGATCCCTGGCATTGAAGCCAAGCGTCCGTGTCTTGCTGCAGAGTAGGATCATATGCCCTGGCCCCGATGGTGGCTCTGAGGCTTTGGAGGTTCTCAGCACCTGGCTGGCCTTGTTCTCAGGTAAAGCCAAAGCAAGACAGGAGACTGTCTTCGCTGCTGTATGGACACCTCTAGTACGAGCTGTCTGTAGGCATCCAAATTATTATTTCAGTTGTTCCCTTATCAGCACTGCAGGCACTATAATACAATTTATAGAAAAACTGTTGGGTGAAACATTTTTTCAGGCATCAAAAACTACTTTCTGGTCTCATTCATTCCACTGTGATAAGATCAACTTGGACAAACGCTGTGGTAATCTCCAGTATTTTTTTGCAAGCAATAAAAAGAACAAGAATCTCCACCACTGCATTAAGTACTTCGATAAAGCAAAAAAAGTGGGGGGTGTGGTAAGATAAATAACTGAGCAAGGAGAAGCAAAACCAGTAGTTTGCATAGCTTTTTCCCACATTTATAACTGCCAGGTTATGTAAACTGATGTAATCTCATAAATTGTAATATTAAGCGAAAAGTGATTTTTAATTGAAAAAAAAATACAGCAAATGTTTAGTGAAGAAAAATGCGAAAGTGAGAGAATAATTCTTGGCCAGTAGTTTTATTTCAAAATCTTAAAGAATGTAAGTTTTATGCTGCTGATACTTTGGTGTAATTTCTACACATTACACGGTAGCTCTCAGATCATATTTATGCTGTTACACATGTGTATATGCTGCTATAAGCATTCATATTGTTGATCTCCTCAGGACCGTTATCTGTGAAGTTATTCCAAAGGAGCCTATCTTTGAGGTACACCTTGATTATAGTTTTTCCTCATTAGAGCATTTCAAATCCTACTCTAGAATTTCCAGGTGAAATAAAAGATAGTTAAATTTTCTTTTCATGCCTGGTTTATGGATGGCAGTTCTGCTCTAGTTATGCATCTGTGCTTTGCCTATGCATTTAGATTTCTGAACTTTCTCAGAGGCAATAACATGACATGGTTCATGTGCCTCTAATTAGGATGAACACAACACAAAATCAAAGTAAAGCAGCTTTGAGAAGAGATAACAAGCATCTTAGTTGATGGTACAGTGTTGTGAAAGTCATAGGATATGTTTTTTTCTACTTGTATCACTGTTGAGATGCTAATTGCTGGTAACATGTCAGGTGAAATCCTGGCTCTATGAAGTCGATAGGAAATTTCTCAAAGATTACAGTAGGGCAAGTATTTTATCCCGGGGGAAATACTGCTTGCAGATAATTTTACAGAAATTTATTGATGTGAGTGTCAGGCTTTGGGGGAAGTGACAATTTACATCAGTTGAAAATGTATTTTCAGGTAACCACAAGTGAAGAAATTAGTGTTTGCTTCTTGGCAACAGGCAGAATAAGCACTCAAATGCTCTTTAATCTCTCCTCTTCTAGGTGTTCACTTTGATCTGTATTAAGATTATAACTTTTGCCATTCTGGAAAGAAAATTTTGAAGGATTTTGGTGTGATTTTTTTTTTTGGTGGGTTAAGGAAAAAGAGAAGCTGAAGAATTTGGGAACCATTCATAGTGAGTCTACTTCACTCTTTATCCAGAATAGTGTTCCAATTTTTACCTGAGTGCTTAATTTAAAATAGAAATGAGTGAGATCTCTCTTTAACATGCACTTTTTGTCTTTTTCACCATTTGTTTTGTTCTTATTGAAACAAATTTAACTACTTTTAATTAGGGTGCTCATGCATCGGGATAAGATCTATGTATTGCTAAGAAATCATAATTGGAAAAAAAAGGCAAAAAAAAAAAAGGCAGGAAAACAGAGCGGAAGGCGTATTTCATTCTCATTTACAGGTCTTCTTAAAGGCATTGTGAAGTAAAATATTTGTTGTTTGATTCAGCTCTTCATATTTCTGATGCCTTGCCCTTGCTGCTTTTCTCCGTGTCTCCTTCTCTCCACAAACTGTAGTCTGGGATCCCCTCAGAGATCCCCTCGTGCAGATTTTCAGGTTAGGTTTGCTCTCCAGTTGGCTCTCCAGCCATTCCTTCAACAAATGAGCTGTGCTCTAGAAATGAATATACTAAGTAGTGAAACCAGGAGGAGTTAAACGAATTTAAAATTGTTTGAAATATAAAACAATAATTTATTTTACTTCATTTTACTTGTTAATATTTGTAGCTAATGATGATTTCGTGAAGCTGCTTTTATAATTCAGTACATTCAAATCTATAAAGCAAACAGTTACTACCATGGCCATTTCAAATTACACAAACTGTCTTATATAAACAAATTAGCTGTACATGCACATTTTTTTTCAAAAGGTTGCAACATTTGCAAACATGCTTTCAAGTCCTTTAAAGCTGCAGTCTACTTGCTTCAGGCTTTTGAGATGAAACCTACATACTTCTTTTAAAAACCTTAAAAAGAAAAATGTTTAAATGTTGATGATAACTCTAAAGACTGTTGCTTGATACAAGTTAAGTATTAAAAGAGAATGACTCTATCAGGAATTCAATAATTCTGAGCTTAAACCTTGAGCTAAATACTGATAAACAGCACTCTGTAGAAGTGAACAACAGCAAAATAATATCACAAAACATGGCTTCACAAAAAATACATATGTGCAGTTACTCTTGTGGGTTTTTTAGGCAAAGAAAAGCATGTGTACTTTTTTATATGAATACAGTTTAAGCAAATTACCTGTGTAAGTATGGTTAATACATTTCTGATATTTAAACACTTTATGTAAAAGGTAACAAGTAAAAAAGTACAATCAATATTCCAAAAAAGCTTTGCTAATATTGCCTTTGAAGGAGATGTGCAGGCTTTCTCTCCACTTTATAATGGAGATCCTGGCACCCACAATTGTCGAGTTCAGTATTTGAACTATAAACTTGATGACTGTCTTATATACAAAAAAAACTTGCCACATTGAACGAGGCATTGATTTCTACCGCAATGGTAGCGTTTTATGTACATAATTTAGCAGTGGGTGATTATACAGTAGTCACTGACAGGAAAGAATTGTACACTCGTGTGCCGTCTGGTGACTTTGTTCCGTGGGTTAACAGTTCTTGGATTGTCATCCAATTGTCAAATATTTTTTTATTTCTCTTCTTCATCATTTTTTTGTGGCTCAGTTCAATGATATTTATCTCTCTCTTTTCTTCTGCACCTTGCTGTTCCTTTAAACAATCCAACCTGCTCTGCATCATGAACTCCCGCCTCTCTTCTTTGCTCCAGTAACGACCCATCTTCATTTCACTTATGGCATCATCATCAGTCGTCATGCCGCTTCTCTCCTCCTTAATCTTTATGGCACGTTCTCTCAGCAGCCTGTCCCTAACGGGCCTCTTCGTAATGTAACGGGTCCCATCACTTCTGACCTTCACTTTCCACTCCATCCTTGGCTCGCTCTGGTTTGAGTTCAGGTCTTTGCACATGCTCACCAGGCTCATTTGGCTCTGTGCGTATTCCACGGCTGACTTCTGTTGGATCAGCTGCATGTAGCTCTGATAGTGCTGTGCGTGGGCAGGGATGTGAGCATGCTTATATGGAGAATGATGGTATGGTGGGACATAGGAGCTAGAAGGTTTCTGACCATGAGTTGGGCTTCTGTTTCCATCAGTGGCTTTTCTGTCCTTGCTTTCCAGCTGCTTGCTGAGGTCAGGATCTTTAGGAGAGGAATGGCATTTACCAGCGCTGGATTCATGGCTCTCTGAGCTAGGAAATAAATTCTTTTGGGAGGCATTATGTGCCATGACCCCGTCATTACTCTGGCAGTTAATGCCTTCTGCAGTTCTGCGCAGGGAGTTGTCAGGGGAAATCTCCAGGGTGAGCGGTGTGCTTCGGCAGCTTTCCCCTGTGTTGTACGCGCTTGAACTATCCTTGTCCGACTTCTCGGGGAGCTCTGTGATGTCTGAGAGCTCGTGCCTGCGAACATCGATACTCGTGTTGTAGTTGCGGAACCCGCTGTTATGCAGCATCCAAGGCTCCCGATACTGCTCTTTCAGCTGCTGCATTTTATGAGCTCTCACAATATTCAGGCACTCGAGCTCAATATTGCGGAGCTCCTCATTCAGCATCTCCAACTCTCTGTCAACACTTTCTTGGTCGCTTTTGCTCATATCCAGAGTGCTGTTGTGATAATACAGATTGTAAGGGTTGGCAGACTTCACTTGGCACTTCAGTTCCAGCAGTTCCCGGAACCGCTCACATTCGTCCACCGGGATTCCAAGGAAGTCGACGTCTGTGCAGTCAGCCGAGATGAACGACTCATTGCTGAACTGCATCTCGCCGCTTCCCAGGGTGTCGTGGCTGTATGTCAGCTGCTTCTGGCTCCCTAACGTGTTAGAGGAAGTGGTGTGATCATCTGCGTTGTTTTCCTGCTCTGAGCTTTCATCATTCCGAGTGCTGTCATCCGTGCGTCCTACACCACTGTCCTTCTCATGCTGGTTAGACAAAATCGTGGCTGTATCTGTGGTACCTCCATCTTCCTCATGCTTCTTCTAGCAGCAAAAATCAAAACAGAGAAACAGAAATTACTGCAAGGATATAAAATACCTCAGGGCATGTATTTAAAAGTTTTCTTAATCTGTTACCTGTTAGGTTGTCTGCATCTTTAGCTTGTACTTAGAGCGAAAGAAAACTTTATACAACAATCATTGCTGAAAACACAGCACACTATGGATCATCTTTTCAGAAGCAAGAACTCATGTTGTCAAGGATGTGAAGGGACAGGGAGAGGGGAAATTAAAAAGCTAACAATTTAAAACATTTTTGCCCCTGCAATTAAGTTTTCTTTGGGGTGTGTGTCAGTCATGTAGTATCCTGATTTTTCATGGTCTTTTTGCCCTGATCTTCATTCAGGACACCAAGTTTATTCAGTCAAGCTCAATATTGGAATATTGAGTGCAGTGTGATGTTTTGACACCATTGCACAAGGGTATGGCAGTACCTGCTGAAGCATGCTGGCAGTAAATTGCATTGCCTGGTGGTGCTGTTCCTCTAACATGTCCATGTGCAAGTCATCCAGAAAATCATTTCTGTCATCATCCATCCATCCTTCATCCAGCTATGTGAAAAGAGAGGGGGAAAAAACAAACAAAATATTGTCAAAAAAATGAAGACTGACATAAATTTCACTCAGCCTTTATGAAAAGTGAGCGGTAGATCCTAGAAGGTTCCTTCCTCTATGACAGTGCAGCAGTGTCCTAGGAAGAAGCATACATCCTCTAAGGGTGAGTATTGACTGTTTTACTCCCTTGTCCCTCCATCCATGCACCTCCAATAGCACAGCTGGAAATCCTTCTAAACAAAACTTTTAACTTCAGTAGTCCTTCATAGATCCTTTCATCCATGGAACTATCTCAAAGGGTTGGATCTGATTTGATTTGCAGGTAATTTTATATAAATTTTATATAAATACTCCAAAGGCCAAAGCTTGAAGATACCGCTAGGCTTAGGTGGTGAGGCAGCAAAAAGGGCTGGAGGGAAAAATGCTTGTTGTGGGTCTGTGGGAACAATCTTTTTATCCCAAACCTCAATCATCTCCCTAGAGGAAGACCAGAAACATCCAGGTTGGTTGTCAATTGGACCCTGTCTCTCCTGCAGTGCTGGCAGAGGATGCTCATATAGTCCATGGTGCAGCAGTTGAATCAAAGAGGGCTCATGGCTGTTCATGCCACACTCACTAGTTAGTGTCTTGGTCGTGCTGATGGCCCTTCTATAAGAAAAGGCTTGGGATATGGTTCAATCTTCTGTCATAGCTGAGAGTGCTTATTGGTAGTATTTTATCACGTTTGCAAGTGATGCATAAAGGCCTGGATAATAGGTGTTCCTATGGATGATTAATCAATAGTTAGGAATTAGAGTTCAGTATGTTGTTTATAGCTGTGGCTTGAAACCATTCATAATACCTTGCACTAATAGTATTGAGATTACAGAATATATTAATCACTGAACTTTTATACATTTAAATTTAATATAAAATGTGATAAAACTTTCATGATTGCTGAATTCATTATTTCAGACTATATATGTGTCCTATCAAACTATGTAATATGGTTTTAGGTAGATAAAATTATTCAAAATGTAGTTATTACTTCCTAGAAAACAGCAACTCTGTTTAATTAAAAAGTCGAGAGAGTCTTTTTATTGTTGCTTCAATACCTGAATTTCTGGTCTTGCGACAAGTAAGGAGATATTCTTGCTGTCTTCACTGGTGAGAAGGGCTACTGCTTCTTCTCTATTCTGTACTTCTATGCCATTAATCTGCAAGGAAAAGAGCAGCAAAATTAAATCTGTACATACGGATACATCCGTTATAATGGGCTCTATGGAAGTGCATGGCTGGATAGGTCCTACTGCAGTACAGGCAGTACTTCAGAATGACTGCAGTGTTGTGTAGTTTGGTGTTGGACACCTTTGTGAGTTTGGACATGTGAAGCTATTCGCTGTTGGGGTGGTGATACACAGGGTTCTATAGGAAGAATTTTGCTGTAAGAACAGAAGCTAGAGAAGGAGAATTAGGCAGGAGCAGGATCGTAGCATCTGCTCTGGCATCGGGAAGGAAGGTCCTCGTATGGGACAGGTGATAATAGGAACACCCTCCCCGGGGTGGGACAGGGGCCTCTGCTCAGGCTTGCCTCTGGGTTATGCCTTCGGACAACAATCAAACCCAACAGGGCAGGATTGCATTTGGATTGCATCTCCACACATACTTGAATAATGCGATCCCCCTCTCGGAGTCGACCATCTTTTGCAGCAATACTGTTGGGGTCAATCTAGAAAATAAGAGAACAGTAAGTGCTTTGCAGGATTTACTGCTCTGTCTTTTACTTTCTGTTGTAAACCCAGTATATGTAATATGGTCAGTCATGCAAACCAGTGTGTCTGTCGTTGCTGGGCAGTAATTTAACATCTTGCTGTAGAACATAGTGTTGTCATTGCAGCCTGCAGTTTTTACATACAACGTTGAAAGGATCATTTCATTTGTAATGTATTTTAATGGAATATTTTAGATATAGTCACAAGATTTTCTCCCTAAATTACTAATGCTAAGTTTGAAAAGGATCTGAGTGAGAAAAAGATAATGTGTAAAAACTGGTATACTTTCATGGAAGGCGGCAGAGAGGCAAATCCACCCCAAATCTTTGTTTACAAACAAAAATGCGTTGACCTTATTCATGTATTCATTGTTTTTGCAATCGAGAACAGAAGTTCAAGGCAAAGTATATTAAAATGTTTTGAAAACATCCAAGATTGAATGCCAAGGATGTGTTAGAGGAAACAAAAAGAACACTAAACATAAATATAATGAGTGCTATATCTATTGGAAAAGAGGTACTGTAGCACTCCAGACTGAAAACAAGGAGTGTGCACCTGGGTTACAGAGACCAGCTTTTGTGCTGTGTTCATGTTCAGTACTGGAGAGGATTCAGATTTAGCAGGTGCTGAGCCTTCTGAAGAGGATGTGCTTTTCCCCACACCGTATTTCTAAAGGAACAGGGAGAACTGTTACTATTTTCTTTGTCTCTAGCATTGTGGACCGGTGCAAAGTTTCTTAATGCAGCTGGAAGAGAGGTTATGATTATGGAAGAATCATGCTGATGCGCATCACAATGCACTAAAATTCATCACAGTGTAATAACTGAAGAAAAGAAATGCATGGAAAACACTGGAGGCAGGCGACAGACTTGTTTGATGTGTCCTGCCCTCAGATCTAGAAGTTCTGTGTAGTACCACCTGTCTCTGCTCTTGCCACCTCCTCATTGAAGTCAGTAAGAGCTTGACTTCGATAGATTTCACTCAGTTTGAAGGAAAGGAAAAACAAGAATTTTCTCTCAGTTTTTGCATTGTGTCTTTTTTTGGAACATGGTGTAAACAAACAGGCAAAGAATTATCTTAAATGTCCAATACTCCTATTTAAAAGACAAATTATATCCAATGGAAATCAGCTCAATCTTACCTCACTCACGTAAATACCAATGTCATCTTCATCATCTGTTCTGTAGCACACAGTAAGGCCAAGCTTGTCCTGGCTGTTCACTCTGTGTAAATCTACTTCCTGAGGTTAGAAGAGAAGGGGGAAAAGAAAAGGACATTCTCCATGAGACAGTGGTGGAGGCAGTTTTTCAAATACAATGAAAATATTTTGCTTAAGTGATATACTGGGTCTGTTTTCATTTTACTGTGTAGACTAGGTTAACTTACTGAGCAAAACATGATTATATTCAGACAATCAATAGCGGGGGCATTTTTGACCCTTCAATCAATATAAAGTCATTTTGAAAATAGACCTTTTATTGATCTTAAAGAAGAAAAATTACCTATATTTTATGTAGTGGCAAGACTTCAAATGCTGTAATACTTATAAAGTATGATTTCAGTATTTAGCATAGCTGATACGTATTCTTTTCCTGTAGGGAGGAAAAGTTTGGGGATTTTCTGGAAAAAAAAAAAACTGTTGCTTTAATATGGATATATTTCATGAAGAAGTGAATTCAGTAACTTAGGAGTGTGACTGAAGATCAATATGTTGTCAGCATGGCATTTGATATTGGTAACAGAAATATAATTTGTACTCCAATATCTTGCAAGGGATTGGTTTGAACAAGTCGTGGTTTATCACTTTAGCAGTTTTTGATCTTATTAGCCTTGAAGCCATTTAAATGTTTTCCCTCAATGGTTTTTGCCAAAAAGACATGACCTGAGTTAATTTTTTTTCCCTATATGTATTGCCTGTTTGTGATCCCAGTTGGTGTAGAGAGGGTGTGAAGGCTATGGAGGTGCTGAGCTGTGGTGTGGAAGGTGCCTGGCTGCCGCGTGGTCGACCAGGCTGTCCCAGCTCTGCCTCGTGCTCTTCCCGTTATTCCTCAGCGTCTCCCTGCTTTGACCTGCGCTTTGCCATGTGTAAGGGGCAAGACAGTAAAACAAGCTGATATGAATAATTTATTAGCACGTCTAGATGACAGCTGCCAAGATCAACAATCTCTTGTTATTTGCTTGTCAACATGTATAATTTCTTTTTTTTTAAAGAAACGTAGCTGTAAATGTCAGTGACATTTCAGATGGTATTTAAATGGTTTCAATCAATAGTATCCATGGTGAACTGAGGCTTTTTTCTTTCCTCCCCTTTTTGTTACTAAAAGATTGAACACAATAGTGGGATTTTTTAAGTGTTTTTTTTTTTTAACTGATTAAGCTTTTTTTTTTTTTAAGACAATAGTGGTGTTTGTAAAGCGTGGTAATATCAGCAACTGGGTTGATAAATGTAAAAATTACGTATGCAGTGTAATTTTTGCATACACAAAACTAGATCTGCTTATTTAGATGAGGTAAAAATGGCATTTGGGGACATGTTCGAGAGCAATATCTGTATACTATCACATAGCAGAGTCAGCACAGGAAAACTACTTGTAAGATTACTGGTTCCATGTCAAAGGGATAGAGCCAAAGGAAGCTCAGAGGGCTAGTTGCTGAAATCTGTATGGCATTTGTAGCAACGCAGCAGGAACTGGATGTGCGCTGTGACATTAAACCTGCAACTGCTCATAAAAGATTAGGAGTAAGTGGTAATAGAAAATTAAACTCTATAATCTCCAAAGATCATTTATTTGCAACAGTTCATTGGATTATTCTGCTGTCATTTTACAATTGTGGATGCCTGCAAATTTATAAAAATCTAAGTGCTTAAGTGTGTATAAGCATATATGCTGCTTAGGTATAGGAAAGGGTAAGGGTATAAAGTCAAATGTGAGATAACAAGGCCTTGTTTTTTGATTCAAAATTTTCTCCTTTGTAATCTGAGAGAATTAGCAGATGGAGAAAGCTCTTGTTTGGCCTCCATGTCTGACAGCTGGGCGCACTTGTTTGAATAATCATTTTAACGTATAACACTGCAGAGAAATCCTGCAGTGACATTATTCTTCTTTTTTGAACCTGAAATGATTTCTGCTGGGCCTCTGTGAAAAATGACTGTAGCTATAATTTATAATAAAATAATCATTCAGGAGTTGGTCCCTCTTTCCTTGTGGTATGTAAACTTACAAAAAAAAAGGTTTTTTTATTTTTGTACTGTACGGAATGCATGACTGTTATCTCTGAGTCATCAATTTTAAGAGAAATGTTGAGAGATGAAGCTGGAAACACAAGTTTGATGTCGTGATAGATAATACTGCCAGAATATATTCCTTTCTACAGATATTTACATTAGAAGCTTGTTGTCAACTTGGGTATTTCACTGATTTTTGTCTTGTTTACTCATTACAAATCACCAATCAGTTATAGACTATAAAGTTTAGAGGAGGAGCTTCTAATTTAAATTCAAAGCACATTTTCTGGACGTAGAAGCCCAGAAGACTAACTTGATGGCTTTCGTACTTTAGGCATTTTTTTTTTTTGCTGCCTTTGTGGTCTTTTAAAACATATCTATCAAAAGGCAAACAAAAAAGCAACTAGCCATTTGAGTCCCTGTTAGCACTTTGACCTTACCATTGATCATAGTCTCTACGATTTGAACAGGAATCTTTAGTGGTTTTTAAGAAATACTATTAGGCTACAGAGACTTTTCTAATGTTCATCGCCCTGTGTTACTGAGCTGATCACCTCTTGCTATCCAGTACTGTATTGATGTCAAAATTATTAATGTTGTGGTTTAAGCTATATTAACGTCTGACTACTAAAGTGCATGTGTTTAAACTGTTTTCAGCTCAACTAGCTGACCTCCTAATGGAAGCAATATGATTTATCCACAATATTGGATTTTTTAAAAGATAGATTTTGAAAAAACATTGGCAGAAAATACTAATCTGCTCTACATTTTCCCTTAAGACTGAAATCTATATTGCATTTTTATTTAACAAAAAAAGGCCTCGAAGTCTGGAAATAGCATTTGTTTTATTGCTACTTCGATTCTTTTCTGACTTCAGTTTGAGTTTGTATACAGAAATGAATTATTTGAAGATTTTCAAGATAGTTTGCAAACTTTTTAATGCAGCTGAGGCCTTGATCCTGCAACCACTGTCGTACAAGGAAACAACTTCATGCTTATAGAATGACCGAACTCTGTTCCCATTGAAGATGATAATAAATCTCCCACTGATACAAGCAGGGCTACAGACAGGTCAGCACTGCTCCCTTTGACAATTACGTGTTAGCAGGAGCAGGATCTAAGAACTCAAAAGTGTGGCCAAACTAAAAAGAAACAGTTCATGTAGTGATGGTCATGAAAGAATCGTATATCTGCATCGGACATCACTGACAGGATAGTGCTGAGTTATTTTACTATTGGTTATCACAAACAGTTAAAAACAGTTCAGTGGGACTTGAGTACTTGCTTAACTGACTTGCAGAAATAATGCCCACAATTTAATATATATATACTTTGAATGACTGGGAGCTGGTTAATAAAATTCAGATAGATAAAAGTGGAAATGAGCTTCTAATAGATATGCAAGTAATAGAAACTTTAGTCAGAAAAAGACACTTACATGCTTTCATGATTTTTTCAACTTTTATCATCTATAATTTTATATGTATACATATTTCATACCTTTTAGAAGAAAAGTGAAGAAGAGCTTAATATAATGCTGGATCTATTTTGGTGTTTCTTGTAATCTTAAAATAGTTCTAAATAATATAATCAACAATATCTGTTTCTCAGTTGGGAAATATTTAACAGAAAATGTTTATTTAAATGCAGACATTTACTTTTCTACTGTGACTGCATGGAATGGCCCTTGCCATTGACAAAACTGATTTTTTTTTCTGACTTTCAGAAAGTTATACTGAATTTAATTAACGGGATTAAAAGATATGTTAATTTCTTCAATTATCTAGCTTCTCGCTTGACGGTATAGAGTTAAATATGTCATTGAAGATACTAGTAATATTTGCAACCTGCAAAGTAACTAAGGAGCAATATTATTATGCTTAACTGCTTAAAATGTCTTTTTACTTTATATATAATATAAAGCTCATGATATATACATGCTAAATTCTAAGTTTATGAAATTATTACTAAACATTAAGTACCTCTAGTTCCAACTCATCTCGATCCATTTCTTGATGAATTCCTCCCATGTAGTCATTTGGGTCGTAGTATTCATGCACTGATGGATGACTAGAGAGAAAAAAATGTTTGTTTTAGGATGGCACTCTGCACCCTGACATATTAATCCATTTCAAGTTTATAGCAAGGCATGATGAAAGTACAGAACAACAACCAGACCAAGATACTGT